AGGCCAGTGCCAACGCCAGGCGGAGACGCTTGGCGGACAACGGGGGGAGGGTCAACGGTAGAGGGGATTGCATCACCGTCGCGGTACGAGGGGGGCAAGAGGGTGGCCGAAAGGGAGCATCCGATATCCGAATATGCGAAACTAAGCCGACCGCCGAAAAGGTGCACACCCCTCTCATCCAACATTATCCTGTGCTTTTTCTTCGTTTGGTGCAGAAAGAACAAGTTGAACGAAATCCTGGCACTACGTACACGTCTGTCAATTGGACACAAAAATACACTTCTCCCGAGCGGCCTCCTGCCATGTGGAATGCCAGACTGACACTACCCACACACTCCACGCGCAATTGAGCACCATTGCCTACTCTGATGTATTCTTTGCCGGGGGGAACAGACGAGATGTTGTACATCTTAGAGCTGTTACTCACAAAATGGTTACTTGCACCGCTATCAGACCAAAATACTTCCCTACCAGGACTGTACTTGCAACTCTGTGCAGACAAAGCAAAACCAAGAACACCACATGCGACACTGCTTACATCACTCGAAACCGAAAGTGAACTCATCTTTGGTTCCTTCTCCCGACGGCGAAGCAATTCCGCATGGGCATCTCGAACGCCCTTTTCGATTTTCTCGCGCGAGGGGGAATCGATGACATAGTCAGAATCTTCTTCTCCATCCTGACCTCGTCGGAAAGGTGGTCTACCATGTGGGCATTGGCATCTTCGTCGGAGAAAATAACACCGTGCGAGGCTAGCCTACTGCGCACAACAGCAAATCTCCCGAAGTATTCATGGGGGGTCTCTCCTGCTTTCATCTCAAGACCGTGGTATTGGGATGACAACCTTTCTTTCTCGGCTCTGGCACGCGGCTCGCAATAGTTGAGGAATATTTTCCAACCTCCACTTGGACTACCATCAGCGATGATCTGGGTAAAAATTGGCATGTAGTTACAGACGTGATCAGCAGGTTCCACGCCGTAATTGCCTTTTCTACGCTGCACTCGAATGCACCCTACGCAGCTCTCCGTGCTCACTCCTTCTTTTCCGACTGGAATTTTTTTTTCAGTCAGTACCACGTCACTCACTCCTTGCTGCGCAAACAACATAGCTAGCATGTTCGATCGAAAAATAAAAAATCTTGCCTCCTCATCTTCCCCTTGCTTGAAAATCCCATCCCAAGGCGCTAGGCGCTTGACCTCTGTCATNACTTAGCTTGCTCATCTTGCTTGAAAATCCCATCCCAAGGCGCTAGGCGCTTGACCTCTGTCATGCGAATACTTCCTCCTGTACTGGGTACTCTACCGATGTCCCGTGGTGATATCTGCATTCGGCTGGACATGGCGTCTGCGAGAGTGCGGGCAATGTCAACTACGGCCGGGTTCACCGATGGCCGCCCCGCTTGTTGCTGGTGGCGTGTCTCGTGCTCGCTTCCGGTCCGGACGTGCTCTGTCCTTTGCTCCTCCTCGTCTTGTTGCCGCCTTATGTCGGCCAGTCGTTGTTGTACCCTCATCTCCACCAACTCGTTGATGCGGGCGTCCTCGTCTTCTGCGTGACGGGCGCCTCGTTCTTGGTCGGCGCTGGACATCGGTGACAGCTGCTGATCGCCGCAAAGCGATACTCCAAACTAAGCTCGACGCGAATCTCGTAGACGACGTGTCATACGCTAGCGTGATCGATAGTTCGGGTGGCTTAGTTGTGTGTGATGGGAGTGTAGAGCAGCTCGGCCATGACGGGCCGTAGGGGTAGGTAAAGTCGTACAGACGTGAAAAACGTGTTGTATTCATCGGGGGCGTGCTTGAGCTCGTCATTCCAATACGGCATCAAGCCACGCATAACGCATAAACACCTGAAACGAATCTCCATGAATCTCCACCAATCTACCACACTCCCAAGGAAAACATGAAGAAACTCTTCTTGTTCCTCCGTAGTTCGTCACTGCAAATCCGGTATATGTATACGCAATATACCACCCCCATGCTATGCTACGAGTATATCGAATAAGTTTACTCTGGACGTTATTGGCGGGCACGGTCAGTACAATGTTCCAACGTTGGTGCACAACAGGCTGCACGGACTATTCGCGCTGATTGTGGTCCAATCTATGCATATCTGGTCCTGGTAGTGCAGCGTACTGGCAGCTTGTGCTTTCAGCGCATTGCGCTAATAGGATAACAAGAGTGCATGGAACGATGAGTAGCCCTCGTCGGGGCCAGAGAGTTTAGGGAAGAGAACGGGCTTTTGGTGTTTTCCCTGCGTTTNGTTTACTCTGGACGTTGTTGGCGGGCACGGTCAGTACAATGTTCCAACGTTGGTGCACAACAGGCTGCACGGACTATTCGCGCTGATTGTGGTCCAATCTATGCATATCTGGTCCTGGTAGTGCAGCGTACTGGCAGCTTGTGCTTTCAGCGCATTGCGCTAATAGGATAACAAGAGTGCATGGAACGATGAGTAGCCCTCGTCGGGGCCAGAGAGTTTAGGGAAGAGAACGGGCTTTTGGTGTTTTCCCTGCGTTTGACCGCGTTTTTGTTGCCGAAAAACACAACTACTGTAGTACAGGAATTAAAGTCTCGAGCGAGCGTATTTACTTCAACATGCTCGTTTTTCTCCGTCGTCTTATATATTACATCCATCCTTGTTGGTGTTAGTTAATGGTGGGAAAAGAAAACATTAAAACAAGGCTTTCGAGTGTTTGAAAAAAACGATCCAGGTGGTGGCGTCACACGTATTAATGTTTTAGTCGTGATGATACACCTCACCTCCACGTCAAAGGTCGGGACTCCAATATGTATAGACGGGTTCGTTTGTCAATTCTTGCTTCTGNTTGTTGGTGTTAGTTAATGGTGGGAAAAGAAAACATTAAAACAAGGCTTTCGAGTGTTTGAAAAAAACGATCCAGGTGGTGGCGTCACACGTATTATTGTTTTAGTCGTGATGATACACCTCACCTCCACGTCAAAGGCCGGGACTCCAATATGTATAGACGGGTTCGTTTGTCAATTCTTGCTTCTGCAAAGAGAAGAACGGCTTCACGGACCTTGTCGAGCGCGTATTTTTCACGAGCTTAGCGTGCGCTGTTATCTTCAGCCACAGCATAAACACGCACGTCTCAAAACCTCTCTACAGGCTGGTTGCAATCTTTACCTGACAGCCAGGTTCTGGTAGTGAGTGGTGACAACGCGGTTTGCAGCGCGTCCCCCCGCGTCACGNGAATTTTTCACGAGCTTAGCGTGCGCTGCTATCTTCAGCCACAGCATAAACACGCACGTCTCAAAACCTCTTTACAGGCTGGTTGCAATCTTTACCTGACAGCCAGGTTCGGGTAGTGAGTGGTGACAACGCGGTTTGCAGCGCGTCCCCCCGCGTCACGTGTGTCATACCGATGACCCACCGCGCTCGAGTGCGCGGTCTTGGGGGGTGTAGTGGACGCGGCTTGTTCAGCCATTTCGACGACAGAACGAAAGGAATGGTGACCATTGAGGATGCGGCCAGTACTCAGCAACAACCCCAACCCTGAAGGCTGGCTCGTCAGTCCTACAGAACGGGCCCGCACATACGGAAAATTCAAGTGAGCAAAAAAACTCGACGTTTACGAAAAACGAGAAAAAATGGTTCAGAAACTCAGCTTCATCTCGGCCGCAACTTGACAAATAAGGTACACTGCAAAAAATGGAACCGAACATGGACCCGAAGGGTCAGCAGAGCGGCAACATCAAACAAAAATCAAAGCAAATGCTCTGGAGTTCTCCGCNGTTCAGCCATTTCGACGACAGAACGAAAGGAATGGTGACCATTGAGGATGCGGCCAGTACTCAGCAACAACCCCAACCCTGAAGGCTGGCTCGTCAGTCCTACAGAACGGGCCCGCACATACGGAAAATTCAAGTGAGCAAAAAAACTCGACGTTTACGAAAAACGAGAAAAAATGGTTCAGAAACTCAGCTTCATCTCGGCCGCGACTTGACAAAAAAGGTACACTGAAAAAAATGGAACCGAACATGGACCCGAAGGGTCAGCAGAGCGGCAACATCAAACAAAAATCAAAGCAAATGCTCTGGAGTTCTCCGCTCCCCTGTGCGCGCTATGCGAGGCAAAATGATTAAGAATTTATCAAGGTTGGAAGGATCACAACCACCGAATCCGGGGGTACCAGTGCAGTCGCAAAAAAGAAGGCAACCTAATTACATTGAAGGCAACGTCAAATGCCCGGTGATTCAGGTCACATACATCGATCGATCGCAGGGGTACGCAAAACAAAACAAACTTAGGTCATGCGGCAAAGCACGCTCGCTCGCGGGCATCGAGCGTTCTGCTGCTGCTGCTGCTGCTGCTGCTTCCGTTCGTGCTGCTGGCATCTTGGCCAGTGGCGCTGCTGATCTTCTCCTTCAAGACGAACTCGGTGGCCTTGCTCTCGCTCGTCCCCCGGAAAACCCCATCGGCATCCTTCCACCTCACGTGTTGGCCCCCGTACCTCGAGATGGTGAACTTCTTCCCGCCCTCCTGCCACCTCAGCTCCAGCCTCTCCCACGCCCCGTCCGTCTTCCCGCCGACGTCCCAGACCACCCACTCCGCCGGGTAGCACTTCCCCAGGAAGAACAGCGTATTGCCGCCGTGCATGTCGCCGTGCAGGCGGTAGGCGCCCGGGGAACCGGAGAAGAGAAGGACGAGGAACGTTCCTCTTCTCCTTCTTTGTGTTCTTCTTGGGTCTTCTTCTCCACCGCCGACGACGACGGGGATGATGCAGATGGGCCTTCTCGCTCTTCTCGCTCTTCTTGCTCCTCGTATTGTCCATGCTGATGTTCTTGTTGCACTTCTTGCTCTTGTTGCCCCTCGTCCTCATCTTGATCCCCTTGAGTCTCCGCCGACGACGGCGGGGATGGTTCTTGAGTCTCCGCCGCCGACGGTAGGGATGGGTGTGGGCCTTCAAACGTGATTGCGTAGCCCCCCCAGGCGTAGCCAATACACTGAACACAAGACGAGAGCAGATGGGTGTACACGGCGCAAGAAACGACTCGTCAGAAAATATGCAGCCCTCGTTCTGGCGAGCACCACACGACGCGATAGACCAGAGAGGAACTGTCTTCCCCGCCCACATTTCAAAGAGTGGCTGGCTGCAGTAGAAACGAATATCATTCATCGTCGGGAGTAGGAAGGACCCAATGGCTATCTCTATAATTTCCCATCACGATCAAAAGACTACCACCTAGTTGGGGCAAACACTCGGTGGTCGGTTCAGCCGGCGCGATTTGTACCGTGCATCTGCCGACAAGCGGTAAACGGGACCCGGAGTCATACCTTGTTGCAGCGGCTGGACTTGGTGTTGCTGGCTCGCANAGGACCCAATGGCTATCTCTATAATTTCCCATCACGATCAAAAGACTACCACCTAGTTGGGGCAAACACTCGGTGGTCGGTTCAGCCGGCGCGATTTGTACCGTGCATCTGCCGACAAGCGGTAAACGGGACCCAGAGTCATACCTTGTTGCAGCGGCTGGACTTGGTGTTGCTGGCTCGCACGGGCCGCGTCCCGTCCGCAGAGAAGATCTCGTACGATTTCCCAGTCTGCACCATCTCCTCCTCCGTCACCACCCCTATCCCCCGAGAAGACAGACAGAGGGAGAGAGAGAGGGAGAGAGAGAGAGAGAGAGAGAGAGAGAGAGAGAGAGAGAGGATCAACAAGTTAGTGTTGAGGTGGACAAGCGGCGCCGAGGGAGGGACAGCACTCGTTACCCGTGAATCTGCTGGCCTGCTGATACGCTTTGTGTCCTCTGGTGGGATTTCGAGAGGATGGTGGATGTACTCTTTTTGATGTATCACGGGGCAGGGACACGCTCTGCCTGGGAATCGGGTGGAATATCTGTGGCAGTATTTTTCGGGAGTGGTCGGCCCATACATCCCGAGCAGAGAATGTTGGGGGTTCCGATGAGTAAGACAAAACGGAATCACCGTGGACGCACTGCAAGATCCCAGTCGTGGTTGGGGGGTCGTCGGCATGTATGCGTGCATCGTTTGTCTGTCACTTCGGGCGGAAGGGGGTCACTCCCGCCCACCCGCAAGGACGAGAAAGGCTACCCTTTCATGAACTCTGCAAAAAAAAACGTTTAGGCTAGCGCCGCCCGCTTGACGCCCGTGCTCCCTTGCTCCCACCTCGAAATCGTCGTCCCCTTGTGCGCCCACCTCCCGGCTGTGTCGCAACAATGGTGGCGATAAAGCGCACGGCAGCGGTGTTGGCGGCGGTCCCGGAGGGGAGGGGAAAGGTTGGTAGAGCTCGGCATGACGGGGGAGAGAGTCGAGCGCGCACCAGCGCGGGCATTTGGGTTCACGACGGTGGCAGCGTTCTGGATAGGTCGGCCACACGCGCAAATGTGAAGTTGCGCGCGCCGTACCACCAAGCGCTGCTTTCAAGGAGAGCGAGCATTCTACCTCTGGCATTTCGATGAGCACTGTCTTCGTTCCCACCACAGCTTGCTCTTTGAGGGTTTCTGCCCTGAAGAACAAGTGGTACTTGACCCTCGCTGCACAACTAGTCTGCATAATAACTAGATGCAAGAAGGATATTGTACCTCACACGAAAGAAAACTGTTCGCGCAACTGAATGAGAACAATCACCTCGAGTTTCGCATCTGATTGATAGAGTTCGCACCAATCTTGCACGCAACTTTAGCCGGGACGGCGGCGAGCTGGGACCCCGGAGCAACCTGGTGTTGTATACGAAGAAAAAATGTCCGGCAAATAATGCATATTCTATTTTGAGCCATCCCGTCCTACCCCTCCCGCAATCTAGACTTAAGAGGGTTGGCGCTGTTGGCAAAGCGCTGTAAAACACGCCACCCCAAATATAGCTCCCATAGTATGCGCTACCAAGACGCGTGACGCATGGATGCGTGGAGTGAGGATTTCTTACGGAAACCTCACAGGTTGAGTGATGTGGGAGATTGCCGGACACATAGATGTGTTGAGTGATTCTAGCCGAATACTGAAACCCCAAGGGCTGAGTGAGGTTTGAGATTGCCAGACACATGGACGGGTTGAGTGGGGATAGCTGCATAATGAAACCCCACGGGTTGAGTGATGTTGGAGTGCCGGACACATAGACGCGTTGAATTACGATAGACACATATTGAACCTCACAGGTGATTTTATTGGAGATTGAGAGACACCTAGACGTGTTGAGTGAGGATAGCTGCATACTGAAACCTCACAGATGGATTGGTTTTTGACCTTGCCAGACGCATAGACGCGCTGAGTGGGGATAGCTACATACTGAAACCTCACGAGTTGAGTGATGTTGGATAGTGCCGGACACATGGACGCTGAGTGAGGAAAGACACATACTGAAACCTCACAGGGTGATTTGCATTGGAGATTGCCGGACACATAGACGTGTTGAGTGATGATAGCTGTGTACTGAAACCCCAAGGGCTGAGTGAGGTTTGAGATTGCCAGACACATGGACGGGTTGAGTGGGGATAGCTGCATACTGAAACCCCACGGGTTGAGTGATGTTGGAGTGCCGGACACATAGACGCGTTGAATTACGATAGACACATATTGAACCTCACAGGTGATTTTATTGGAGATTGAGAGACACCTAGACGTGTTGAGTGAGGATAGCTGCATACTGAAACCTCAC